GCGGGAGCGCCGCCGCGCTTCCCAAGCGGTGCACTATCCAGTGCGCCACCGGGCCGGCCCTTTCTCATCACTTTTATACACCTTGACAAAATACTTATCTGAGTTCTGCTGAATACAGGTAGTTTGTTTACTAGGCAGTGCAGTCAACAGAAGTCCTCAGTCACTTTTACTATCAGCCTCTCAAATATAAAAATCAAACACATACAGTGGGAGGAGCTTCACAGAAACATTTTAACAATTAAAAAAATAAGTTCTCTTTCCCTGTAATGAAATTAATCATATTTCGAAACAAAAACTACAGTTGGCTATGGACATCAACTGGAAGTGATGGCAATGAAAATTATTAAAACTAAATATGAAGTTGAATTTGAACTTAAAAATAGTTTGCAACACAGAAAAATCTTTAAAGAGTAATTTTTCTTACCTTTGGATCATGAATATCATAAGTTCGACAAACTATTCTTTAGTAATTAAGAACAAAATGACCAAAAGACACAGAAATAAGCAATTCTTGATAATCAAAAGAATACAAACCACAAAAAATAAAAATAAAAAAGTCCATGCATCCAAGAGTTCTAACAAATTCATAACATTTATACTCTTAAACACACATATATGTATACATATGTATATACACGAATATATATATGTGTGTAGAAACACATACACTTATAAATTGCTCTGACTATAGTACTTGTGGTGCTTAAAAACTATTTCCTACTGTTTATAAATCCTGCCAATCACAATGAATAAAATAGAATCACTTGTGAAATTTTCCTCAAATGCACACCACCCATTAAAAAAAGTGTTGTTTTGGATGGTGTCAAGCCTGAAAATATTTGTCAGGTCAAAGGACTCATACATGAAACCTTCCAGTTAAATACCACAAAAACTAAAAGCCCAGCTTCTGTAGGGAAGGTTACTTTTTGAATTTTGTCCTTGGGAAGTCCTAATTTATTGGGCCCTTGAATTGTGTCACTTCTTTGCTAAGGCTGCCTCTTGCTTGGGAGGTACCCACGTCCTAGCAAGATGTAGAGGAGAGAAGCTGAGGAGTTCCTGTAACTGGCTTTTAGTATCACTTGATCTTGGCCAGAGACATTTCTTAGATGTCCTACACTGTCCAGCTCAGCATACTTGTGCTTTGAATTACACATTTTATCTATATGAATTGAAGGTAAAACCTTAAACACAATGAAAACATTACTTAGCCTAAGCTGTCAGTTGGGCATTTACCTTTCTCTAGGGGACCTATTGTGCTTGAATGTATAGGGATAGATAGTTGGAAAGGAATTCAGAATCCCCAGTCCTTACTCTCTCTCTCAAACTCTTTATAACCCCGGGACATGATTAACGACCATTGTAAGTATTATTTTAATTGGCAGCTCTAATTGTATGTTATTTACAGAAAAACTTTCTAATGTCTTACAGGCTTCTTAGGAACAAGTTACAAAAGCGAAAGGAAGGAGAATCTAACTGTATCTCTCTAGCACTGAGCCTACATTCAACTGCATTCATTTCAGCACCCACCACAAAAGGATGCACAACCAATGTTGTTAACACTACCACAGATTTAGATTTCATTCCAAAATGCCAAAGAGTATGAACAAGTGCGAAAGAGGTAAATTTATTCAAAATGGAAAAATTGGCAGGTTAAATAACTTTCCAGGAAGGGGAATAACTCCATTTTCTTCCCTTACTCCCTTAGGTGCAAGTATCACAGGCTTGAGAGTGGAACATCTAAATGGACAGGTACAAAACTGGAAGAATCTGTAGCATCTGGGGTTCACAGCTGCATTCTCTTTTAACTAAAAAAAGGTTTTTAATGGATTTTGGGAGGTTTTGTGCTATTGAGAAAACATCCCCTCTCTCTTGGGGTGTGAAACAGCTCTTTGAAAGCTCATATGGATCTCAAGTACTAAAGAGATGAAAGCAGGCTGCACAAAGTTTGCTTTAGGTTTGGGTTTATGGGAAAACAGCTTGTGAACCTTCATATTTACTTTTACACTGCGTTACCCAATTCTCTGATATAGAAATAGATCAAAAAACATAGGAGATTCAGGATAGATACTCTATCCAGGATTAAAGAATAAGTATTTGATTGCTTTATGTTTTACTCTCAGGATCTTGAGAGAACTGAAAAAAGGACAAGAATCTCACTAAGCACCTATTAATTTCAGATTATAGTAACCACTTGTTAATAAATGGAAAGTCTACCAGAACACTGCTATTGCACAAGAAAAACTGTTTGTCTTTAAAATAAAGACTACTTTACATAAAATATGTAGCTTTGATTGAAAATATAAATATTTACATTTATCATAGTCAGGATATCCAAGAAATTGAGTGGACAAAGCTGTTTCAACATAATTCCAGCATAAAGAATTATGGAATACTAGTAAAGAAAGAGAAGTCTGGCATGAGGAAGTAATCACATGAGCTAAAGTCTACCCATGCAACACTAATCTAAACATGCCTAAGATCATATATATAAAATCAATTAAAATAATAAGTAACTCTGATCTTATTAAAAATTTCTGATATATCAGACTTACTCTGCGCAGGGTATTTTGAAAATCATTTGGCAGTTCTGAAGCTGTAATAATAAATACTCCAAGAACGAGAAGTCCTCCTGGTAGCATTCTGGATACCTAAAAACAGAAATATAGTATGAGCTAAAGTAAGCATTTGGCATTACATACAATCCATTCTGTTTGAGAAACTAAATATTAAATCAGCAAATACCTAATGAGTACCAACTGTATGCACAGCATTAAAGTAGGGACTTTGAAAAACTGGTTAAAATACTGAGAAACTTGATAACAAAGATGAATGGGGTACCATGTACACAATCTCCCTAGAGTGCCCTTAACTTTTTACAATAAAACTACTTTATAAATAAAAACATTTGATAACAACATCTTTTAGCTATATCAATAAACCTCTTTCTCATAAGATCAAAGACTAGGATATCTTTTAATATTTTTTCAATGACTTCTCACTATCAGCTAAATAAAATTAAAGTTTTATCTCAGACTGGTATTCAGACTTTCCGGAATCTGGCCAATCGGATATTCAGAGCCTCTTCTGATACTACTTTCCCTGAAATACTCAAGTATCAATCAAAAACTACTCACTGTTCTCCATAGGCTTTCTAACTATGACTTTCTCTCTAAGTTGGCTTGAGGAAAAAGCTGCCTTCCCCATCCTTTGATTTCTGAACTCCTATAGGATTTCAGTGTAGTTTTGCCCTGGACCTTATCACACAATCCTGTATTACAGTTTTTTGTGAACCTTACTAATTGGTCAGGAAAGAAGTAATTCTTAACTACTTTTGAATCCCTACTTAGTAACTCTTAACTACCTTTGAATCCCTATTTAGCAGCATAATAGGTCCTGGAATTTGAACACAGGGAGTGTGACTTGAAAATCCATTGTTTTCAACTGTTTAGGTTTACTTCTAAATTTTATACATACTTACTGGTATTGGGCATTTATGTTACCTCCAATTTTTCTTTACATTAAAATAATACTGATTAAGAATCTCTAGTAAGTCTTTCTGTGTTCATAGGATGTTTTACTTAGGACAAAACCCTTCAGGTGAATAACTAGGTTAAGAAGTTATGCATATTTTAAAGATTTTTGATACATACTGCCAGTTTGTCCTCCATAATATCTGTATCTCCCTTCACACGATTGTGGCTAGTTTTGAATGCCACGTAGATTTATTTCTACCATCTGTACTCAGATATCAGAGTGCTTTGGTTAGCTTTTGTGTACTTAATGTATAAGCTAATGATCGCAAAGTTAAGTTTTAAAAAATTAGATATCATAGTCTAATCTCTAATATATTTGCATTATGTCTGCTGGTGGTTCCCTGTGATTTCATAAATTCTATTTATGAAATATATATTACTATAGTAATATAAATTTGACAAAGTTTTCGTATTTAGCATGGGGAATGCGAATATCTTTTCAAAATCATCAACACATAAAATTAACTATTTCTTTCTAGAGGTAAAAATGTTCATCTAATTTGCTATATAAATTCTCTATATAAAATTCTGTGTGTGTGTGCATACCACATTAAAATTTTGTAGGAGACTCAAAGCAAAAGTAGGGTAGTAAATTATTTAGCCATTGGGAATGTGATTTTAAAATATTTAGTATTTTCTTTAGAAGATAGTATTAAATATTTCTCAGATTTGTTTTTTATAGCTACACACTGTCCCCCCATCACAAACACATAGCACACAGAGAAACACATGTTTGTGTACAAAGGATTTAAAGTTGGTTAGAGAAGGAAATAATTCTACTTTTACCTTACTCTAATATTCTTTATTAGATGATATAATTCATTCAATGAACAATTTTAGGTGAGTGAATTTATTTGTCATTACTTCTCACCCACCCCTAAATCTGTTTCTTCCTCATATAACAACAACTCAAGTTAAAAATCTCAGTCATCTTTAGCTCATCTTTCCCTGTATCTCTTCATTCCCAATATACTTGGTCACTAAACCTTCTCAATTCTAGTTTTTTCTCTGAAATGATTTAGCAATGAAGTTTTGTATTAGTACGCTTATTCATGCATTTATTTATCAAATACTTTGAAGCTCCCATTTTAAATCATGGAAATATTGTGCTAGGCACTCAGGATATATGAATAAACAAAACAGTAATGACTCTTGCCTTCATGAAGCTGTCTAGTTTAGGCTCACATCATCTTTTTTTAGACTATCATAGAACAGAAAATTACATTTTCTGTTGTCTCCAGTCTCTCTAATCAACATTTACAATGTACCAAAATATCAAAGTTATTTACTAAATTACTGGCAAAACAATTTCATTAAACCAATCTCAAAATAAGGAGCTCTGAAAGTCTACACGGAGCTGCTGTCTACCATACTTCTCACTCCTTAGGAACGCACTCAAAAACCGTCCGTAAACTGGTCCCTCCCAGTCTTATGTCTAATTACATTCTTTGACATACGCTGGGTTTCAACTATACCCAATTGCTTGCTATTCTCCTAACACATCTTTACCTTCATGCCTTTTCGTCATTTACTTATACTGTCCTTGGTGTACTCAATGTGTTCCCTGACTGCTTCAACTCGCAAAGACCTACTTATCCTTCATGTTCAGGGCCTTCTGTGTAGCTGTTTTGAATCTAACTGCTGGCAGTTATTTAATCACTCCACACTCCATATTCTTATAGCACATTTCTACCTTTATCTCATTTCTCTTGTAGTTGGTTTTGGTAATAATGTCTTTCTCTTTGGTTAAAATATAAATTCTCTGAGGATATTTAAAAAAGAAATTAACCATTTTTGTATTCTCCCAGTGCCTAGCATTAAGCCTTTAAAACAATCTGACCATCAGCTATATTATCAATAATTAGTGCTATTTTAAAGTAAAGAAAAATTGGAAATAAGCTAAATGAACAATAACTAGAGACAGGTTAAAAGATTACATAAATTAACACAATGGACAAATGTTAACAATGGAAAAGTATAGCATTTAAGAGCAAAGGCTTTCAAGTTACACTGACAAGGTTCAAATCCCAGTTCTACCACTTACTAGTTACTCTTTTTTACCAATGATTACTCTTGGGTGGGCTACTTAACTTCAAGTTAAAAAAATGTATTTTAAAAAATGAGACTCAGGTAAATCAACAAATAGAAAATAAACCATGGATAAAACAGAGGAGAAAATACTTCTATTTTTGACATACTCTACAAGTTTTGAAAACTTAAGAATGAGTGCTCTAAAATCCTAGTCTAGTAACCAGAGCACAAAGTGCTTTGTTAGTCAAACACAAACTTAACTATGTAAAGAGACAAATAAATGACCTGGCTGGCATGTTCTGCAGCCCATTCTTCATCCAAGCTATCCAAATTAGCTTTGGGATGCTTGAGGTTCTCCTTTTGTCCCTCTTTGGGTGGCGTTCTAGTGGCAAGAATCACATAATCCTTTTGTGAAGAACACTTCAAAAACAAATTATAAAAGCGTATTAGAGTGTTATCTGGTTGGGAAATCGGATATCTCAGTGCTTATAACATGCAAAAATGGAGTAATATTTGTAGGATAAATTAATAACTAAATTATAATAAAATCTGCAAGGAAACTAATTTTCATGGACAGCCACACAACATTTCCCTGAAATGCTGTTTGTCTTAGAATGTATTTAATACCAGCTTCTTATTTATTTGGACATTCTAAATATGAATCATACAGTCGTCCTTAAAAATGGTTTACTGGACAAGTGAATGAACTACATTAACTGAAAGGTAATATGCTTAGTCGATTTTCTAGTTATATTTATTTTCTAAATAGTTTGAATAGACTGGATGTTTAGCAAATATAAAATCTCAGTAAAATAAAGCAACAAAGGCCCTTGAGCATCTTACTTTAATTGAAAGGATGAGAGTGGTTTTGTAAGATGGCGGTTTTGCTGAGCTCTAGAAACAGTTTCAATCCAGTAAAGCAAGTTTAGAAGAAGGTCTATCTGACCTTTCACCTATACTAACCACATATTTCTCTAGGGCTCTTCTTCCTTACATCTTTAAAATAAAAGGAAGGAAAAAATGTTAAATAAAAAGTTCCTAACAAAAAGAACCCCACATCAGATGTCAAGCAACTGAAACAAAAGAAGTTCAGATCCTTGCCAAGAGAGGCCTCATAGGGTAGAACTAGCTGGGTGAACAGTGTAGATCTGCCTTAGTCTTACAAACTAAGAAATCTGATTTGTGAAAACTCTGAGAATGAACCTGTCTCTCAGGGCTAGACTGGCATTAACTACGTTCATTCAGGGTGATGAAGAAAACTAGAATGCCTAATGGGATCTGAACGCATGAGTCCTCTGGGCAGTGAATTCTTTATAAGTAGGTAACATGGTGCATCAAATTATAAAAGAGGCACTCCTGAGGAGCATGGCTGCAGACAATACATTCCTGACCACCATCTTCCATCGCAGTCTAATTCCTGGCAGGCAGTGGATCAGGAAGCACCAGCAGCAGCGGACCATGTCTTTGTGTGCTTGGACATCAAGGTGAAGAACAACTACTGGCAGAGCAGGAGTAAGGCACAGCATGGAAGCCTTTGAGGCCATGAAGGCAGCCAACACTTCCAAGTTCCCCTATGTAGATCTGTTACAGATTGGCTCAATCATCTCATTGTCACCAAGAAATGATCCGAATCCTGAGCCATTACCCTTTGATTTTATAGGTCACAGGACTGCCCTGTCTTTAACTGGTCCTGGAACTAAAAAACTGTAGCTTCCATAAAAATGTGAGCCTTTGAACCACAGTCTTACTAAAAAAACTAAACGTTAGTAGGCTGCATATAGAATATCCGGGGTACTATATTCCCTCATACTTAAAAGTATTATCGCTATGCTTTTGTGTTTCCTGTTTCTTTAGCTTAACAGGAAGATATCAGGGATTTCCTGGGTCACAGATGATATAAAATATATTTTGAATGAAAGGTGCAATAAAGTTACAAACTATGATTTGGGGTCTTTGCTTAAGTATGAGATACTTTCTGCGGGCTTTATCATGCAACATTAGTTTGCTTACACTCTGTCAAGAATAATTGCCTAAACTTAAATGGAAATATGAGCTTTTTTAGTTAAACATGCTCCTAAAATTCCTTTTCTTCTGGGATTTAACTACTAAAGGTGACATTTAAATAAAGTAAAAGGTACTTAGCAGGAAAAAAAAAAAAAGATAAGAGAAAGTAGCTTGGGAATGTGGACAGAATTAGAACATGGAAAATCAATTGTGCAATTTCAAGCTTCTAAGTCACCAGGTTAAGAAACCCAGGAAGAAAAAAGTCATAATAAAAGTTTAACTTGCTAATAGGCCTCAAAATCAAGTCTTGGGCCACAGTGCACGTTCCCCTTCGTGTCTGGATGGATATAGCCCGTTTGCCTATGTGACTCTTCTTTTTGCTTTGTACTGTTGACCAGTCCTTCCTAGTGATTAACAGACTCTTCCTACAATTATAATAAAAAAGTGGCTGCTTATTCTTTCTAAAGTACGTATCCAAATCTCTGTCTAATTTTGTGTTGAATTTTAAGGTTTAACTCTATGAAAAAATAGAATTTGCTTAATTTCCAAATTTCCTTCAATCCCTTTTCCTACCTCTTTATTGAATCAACAACATTAAAAAAAAAAATTAATAAAGTGAGTCCTACAGCACGTAACAAAAATATGACCACTGTTGCTACAAATATAAGACAAACTAGAATGGGAATAAAATTGTCAAAAGCTTCTTTCATAAAGATTGGACAATAAGGAATTTTTAATAAAGATTAGAAAGGAGTACAAAAAACTTTGGAAAGACAAAATGTGAATAAACTGGTCAATAAAAATTCTAATTCTGGAATTTCTACATTATAAATCACTTTTACGTTGTCAAAGGGAATGTGTTCGGACTTGAGCAAATCTGGGCTAGATCTGTCCTACTTCTCCACATTTCCTCAAAGATCCACTTTAAATTTACTTCTTCTACATCCCATCCTTCCAACCCCCAACCTTGAGTTTATTGTTAATAGCAGCTTTTAACTTTAAATAAACAGGTAATTTATTTTATCAATAAACATTGAGTAAAAGATACATACCTGCCCTATTAAAAGGCCACAGATAAAAGCCTTTCCTTGGAGATTGATGTTTGAAAGATACTGGCCAACAGTCTCCTCTACAATGTAGGTTCTTCCCATTATTGAGAGCTAATTCAATCTCCTAAATTACAAGAAAAAAAACATATGTAGCATTTTTTTTTTTCCTTTTTGTCTTTTTTCGTGACCGGCAACGGATCGCAACCCTCAGTGTTGCGCCCGCACCGGACCGGGTCCGGCAACGGGATTGCAACCCTCGGTGTTGTGCCCGCACCTCGCTCAGCCAGTGAGCGGCCGGTCTGTATGTGGGATCCGAACCCTCGGCGGGAGCGCCGCCACGCTCCCAAGCGGTGCACTGCAGCAGTGCGCCACCGGGCCGGCCCAATGTAGCATTTTTTAGATAAAAATATAATTTGCCAGTGTTATAATACCAAGGGCAAGAATTCGGATCCCTGTACTGGCCAGCTGCCAAAAAAAAGAAGCAGGCCCAATGTAGCATTTTTTAGATAAAAATATAATTTGCCGGTGTTATAATACCAAGGGCAAGAATTCGGATCCCTGTACTGGCCAGCTGCCAAAAAAAAGAATATATATAATTTGCAATGTTTTTTATCACAGGGATAGTGTAGTGAGAGAAGTGGTATTATCCTGACATACCCCATGCCTTGCAGTGATTGCTTATTAAATAGGGTATTCTTTCTTGTAAAGTTCAAGTGTAGCTTCAGAAATCTCCTCAACACAGTTGCTTCAGGAAACAACTACCAATCAACCAGAGTTGACATGAGAGATCAAACCTATTTCTCATATATCTGGGATAAGGGAGAGGACACTAAACTAGAAGTCAACACACTTAATTTCTCATTTTAGATTTACTCTTCAGTTGTGTTATCTTTGATAATCTATTGCTGACCCTCAGTATTCTCATTTCTAAAACAGGAAACATGAATTTCTGAATCAAACTCACTTACTCAATAAACATATATTAAAGAACTATTATTTGCTAAAAATTGTGCCAGGTGAGGATGGCTCAAAGATGAGTAACACTTAATCTCTGCTCTTGAGAAACTCATAATTCAGTAAGAGTTATGTAAGTAGATAAATAGCAATGCAATTATTGGAAACGTTTATATAACTTCTATCTTGTACAAGGCATTATTCTAAGTATACTTTACCTGTAGTAATGTTTAATGTTCACAAAAACCCCATGAGGTAGGTACTATTATTATAATCCTCATTTTATAGATGAGAAAACTGAAACAAAGAAAGGCTGATTAAATAACTCAGGCAGTCTGAATCTAGAATCCATGCTCTTCAATACTATACTCATATTGAGGAATCGTACCCAATACCTCAAATAAATAATTACTAAGGGTAACTCCTATTCTGCAATCTCTCTGGTTTGTGGATGGAAACCAGTACATGCCCCCTACTATCTTCTGCTCCTTTCATGTGAGTTTCTGTAGCTTAAAACCGAAGATACTGAATAAAAAGAGCTAGGCAATAATGAATAATAATATCGAGGAGCTCAATTCAGTGTAAAAGATAAAAACGTAAAGAGATGATATTTTTTAAAAGCTATAAAATAGATAGATTACAGGAACACAGATATAGTATTCTGAATACTGAAATTTAGAGGTAATAATCATTTGGGTTTTATAAAAAATTTGAACCTTATTCAGTACCACAAAGTGAAGGCTACTATGGATATGCTAAGGTGGTATATCTGATACCAGTAATGTAAACTGCCAGTACCAGAGAATAGGCTTAAGTTTGAAATAGCCTGTTGGATGCTATTGCTCTATTGTTCCAAAGAGCCCATTCAGTTTAGTTTCAAAATGCATTGAATTTCTTCCTGGCTCTTTTCTGACAACAGTACGAGAGAATCAGGTCTGCATACCACTTTTTTAAGACTAAGTCTAGAATTTACTGTCTAAATTATGAATGCCTCTAAAAAGCTAAGGGTTTTCAACTTTTAGTAATGCCTTAAGGTATGCATTTCTGTACATCTTTCCTCTACATCATGTTATTCTACTCCTTTTCCTTCTGCCCTAATATGAGGGGTCTTCAAAAAGTTCATGAAAAGATTTGTATTATCTTTTAATTCTATTTTTCCATGAAGTTTTTGAAGTACCCTTGTAATTCCTAATGCTTGCAAGAAATAACAAATGACTCCAACGTTATGATATTTAGGCTAACACTTCTTCTAGGGTGTCACCTACTAGTTTGTATTTGTCCTTTTTGTGTTACTATAACAAAATACACGGAACTGGGTAATTTATAAGAAAACAAAATTTACTGCTTACAGTTTCTGAGGCTGGGAAGTCCAAAGTCCATCTGGTGGTGGTGACAGTGACCCAGGGGTCTCACATTGCAAGATGGTGGGAGCAGAGTTCAGAGAGAGCGAGCAAGACAGACTCTCCTCTTCTTTTAAAGCCCTCAGAACCACACCCCTGACCAACATTTTTAATCCATTCATTACTGCACGGGTCCTACAATCCAATCACCTTTTCAAGGCTCCACCTTTCAATTACTGTAATAGGATTTCCCACCCTCTTAACAGTTACAGTGGGGGCTAAGTTTCTAATACATAAAACTTGGGGGACACAATTCAAGCTTCAGGGAGTTTTGGTGGGATGTAATTCAATCCACTACATAGCCATATTAATATATAAGATACTGAATGTAACAGGAAGATGAAAATCTATTGGATTATGAAGTCTGCTTGAATGTCCAATAACTTTTTCTTCAATGCTCTTTCAAAACTTTTAAATGCAGCCAACCATACTTTGTAAAGAGCTTTGGTGCCTTTTATGGTTATAAATTTTCTGAAATGTGGTGTATTGCCTGACGCTTTCATAGCCTAACCACTGTGACTTGAGACAACTTAACCTCCCTGGTCTCTGGTTTCCTAATCTACAAAATAAAGAATTTGGATCCTAGCAGTTCTGAAGGCCTATTCAATTTTAGGATTCTGTAAATTTAAGTACATAATATCAACATTCCCCAAATGGTAAATCAACAGTATGATAATACGGTGGGCCTAGATCATGGTAAAGTATTTCACATACCAGCAACCTTAATTAAAGGCTTATATGTAAAATATCTTGGTGGAAAAATATCAGCCTCAAACTCCTTACTGATTAATTTTTCCTTAGTTATCAGAAAATATAAGTGAAATGCTTCTGTTTATGTTTCTTAGATATCTTCACAACAACAGTTTCACAAGTAGGAACAAAACAAAAAGAATAAATTTCACATGAGAACTAAATCACCAATTCACAGACTATGGGAACTGCAGGGAGGACTTTGGGGATGCCTTATTTTCAATAAATAATTAAATAATTTTTTTTCAGAAGAGTAATCAAATATGAAACCATCTACAGATTGAGATTACGGAATTATGATCTGGAAACAAACAAGTAGTTCTGTTATGGAGGCAGAGTGAGAAGTGATTTTTAAAAATGTGTTTAAAAACTTGTGTTACAACGGTTTTCGGTTTTAAAAACATCAGCACAAGGTAACATTTCTGCAACGTCTCCTAAAACCATAGGCTAACTCTCCAACAATTCCTGGTTTCTATGAATCCTTTCCTGAAAAATTAACCCGGCTCCTTAAATTCCTGTTGAATCATTCAGTACCTCCTTCTCAAAAGGCATCCAGGTGCACCGTTTCACATAAGGTGAGTTCGACAGAACTGGACTGGATTGTGCACCGACCTGACTGTCCATGTTTCCTACCCTTGAAAAAGGAGCTCTCTAGGCCCGATTGCGCACACACAAAACCAGACGCGCACACACAAAACCAGACACACACACGTTTTACACCCTTAGGCTGACTCACCTATTCTCAGAACGTGCACACGTAGCAGATAAATCCGTCGAATGGTCAGTCCACCAGAGAAGGGGATTTAGGGTGCAAGTACCAGCCTCTAGGGGCCAGATTCTTCTCGGGTCGCAATATCACGCCAATGAATTCATCAGAAAGCGACCAACTCCCCACACCTCACTCCCCACTCTAAACACAGGGTCTCGAGACCTCAGTGGCGCAGACTAATGACGCACGCTGCTCCCCTCCCTTAACCGTAGCGCCTCAGCCAAAGCCACTGCGGTCGCCACCCCGCCCCCTTCCGGGCGCCGTAGAGAGTGTGGCAGTAGCTAGGAGCCTGCTGTCCGGCCCTGCCAGGACCAATGCCCTCTAGTGGCTCAGTGACTAGAAGCCGCCAGAAAGGACGACCCATGGCATCGCGGGGCTTTGACGGTAAGGTCGCCCTGCTCTTCTGGGAGGGACGTGGGTTGACGGGTACATAGGTAGCGCCACCGCGTGGATAGTGGTCACACGGCGGACTGAGGAGAGCTGGAGGGCGGGAAGAGAGGAAGAAGCGGAATGAGCGCTGCGGGACTGAGCTCACAGAAGGAAGGAGAAAAACACTACGTTTCCCAGAGGCCTGCGAGGCCTGAAGTGGGTGGAGACAGAAGCCGGAAGTTGGAGTGCACTAAGGGCCAGGGGCCTCCTCTGAACTCGGATTCCCAGGGTGCACAGCTTCCGGCGGCTGCGCGCGCATTCGGGCACGGGCGCTGGGTCGTGTCTGGTGCTGAGGTTAACACTGTACTCGATTTCCCAGGGTCCCGCCGCGGGAGTCTCCGGCGGGCAGGCCCGCGCGAGCCACCGAGCGAGGCTGCTGAGTTAGCGTTCTCCTGGTCTTCGCCTTTCTTTTCCGCTTCTACCCGGTCGGCCGCTACCGCCGCGGCCGCCGGCCCCACCGACATGGCGGCGGTGTTGCAGCAAGTCCTGGAGCGCACCGAGCTGAACAAGCTGCCTAAGTCCGTCCAGAACAAACTTGAAAAGTTTCTTGCCGATCAGCAATCCGAGATCGATGGCCTGAAGGGGCGGCACGAGAAATTTAAGGTGGAAAGCGGTAAGGGAGACGCTGTTCCCGCCCTTGGGTCTGGGCCCAACTTCTTGGCTGTAGCTGATCTCCACCCTTGCAGGCTCGCACCCTGTCTACGACGCTGATTGGTAGCATCGCTTCTTGGGCACCCTAGGCCTTCTTTTTCCTGTTCCTCTCACAATTTGTTAAGGAGGGGCCTTTTTATCTTTTTTAAAATCTGCATCACATTAGTTTCTTATTCTTTGATGGTCTTATATAGGGACGCTTCACTTGGTCCAACAAATGGAAATTGTGAAGTTTGTTTCTATTTATACCAGACTTCCGAGAGTCTGCACCCCTGTCTTTCTAAGCCTGGAGTGCCTTATCAGTTTTTTTGCACTTTAAATGGTAGTAATTTCCGCTCTCACGTGTATTCATGGACGTTTGCCTAACTGACCACTTCGTGCGCTTGTTCCGAGGTGTATGTGTCTGCATGTTCACAAAATGACTAGCGAAATAGATGTTCACAGAAATGACTTGAGCGCTGGAAAGACAGTGAATGTGTAGTAAGTGAGTTTAATATGTTGGACTTCTCTTTAAGAGTTGAAACTTGATTGAAAATATATTAACACCTGCTTATAATTACTTATTGTAGATCTTAAATGAGAAAGTTATCGACAATAGTGGATTGAATATCCTTGAAAAAAGATTAAGAATGTGAACTTGATTGAAAATATATTAACACCTGCTTATAATTACTTATAGTAGAGCTTAAATGAGAAAGTTATCGACAATAGTGGATTGAATATCCTTGAAAAAAGATTAAGAATGTAGTAGTTACCATTAATAAAACAAATTTTTGTTGTGTGTTTTGGTTTACCATTTGTTTTGGGGGAATTGGTAATTTTTTTTGCTAAGTTCACTAGAAATCCTGAATAAATTTTCACTTAAAAAAAGTATAATTGTCAAGTGGAATTGATCTTGAAAATTAGGCCGTGCTCTGAATCCTAGAACTGAATGTAGTACACTGCATTCTGTTCATTAATTTGCACAATAAATATTAAGTGTCTTCTATGTGCCTGGTCAGTGCTGAGCAAGATAGACTCAGTCCCCTCCTTTGGGAAGTTTACACATTTACTTTTACATAAATTTAGTAATTTTATATTTCCAGGTACCATTTTGACTTTTAAAACAAGCCTTTTAGTACAAAGCAGGGGTTTTTTTTGTTTTGTTTTTTTGACCGGTAAGGGGATCTCAACCCTCGGCACAGTGTGGTCCGCACCACGCTCAGCCAGTGAGCGCACCAGTCATCCCTATATAGGATCCGAACCCGTGGCCTCGGCGCTACCAGGGCCGCACTCTCCCTAGTGAGCCACTGGGCCGGCCCTGCAAAGCAGTTTTTAATTTAAATATTTTTTTTCTCCGTTCAATAAATACTTTATGCTAAGCAGTCTAGTGACATCTGGGGAAAATACTAAGATAAATGAGACATGTTGCCTGCCTTGAAGAACTTCATTTGTAAAACCACTTCTAGTACTTAATTTCTTTGGGCCATAAAATAGGTTGGAAATGTTAGATAAGTCCTTTTCAGTGCTCAATCTATCTTTACTCAGATTCTTTTATTTGGAGTGCAATTCCAATACTGTGGCTTAAATTTTAAAATCAACACTGTTAGAAATAAGTAGCAGTATTGACAATGTGTTTGCATATGTGTTTGATTTTTTTTTTCCTTGTATTCTGTAGAACAGCAGTACTTCGAGATAGAGAAGAGGCTATCTCACAGTCAGGAGAGACTTGTAAATGAAACTCGAGAGTGCCAAAGCTTGCGGCTTGAGCTAGAGAAGCTCAGTAAGTATTTTATTGCTTCTTTTTAAATATTCTTAGAGTAATAAGATCTTCAGACACTTCTTTGTATGCTTTGGAAACATTTTGTTATATATGAAAATACTAAGCATCATTGTTTTTGTTTATGTTAATATTCTGATTTTTCACACAGTGGTAAAGACTTTGTAAGAATACGGGGCTTAATGGTCAAGAGGCCTGAGTTCTAATTCTGACTTTGCTATTAAAAGCAGTTTTGCTGTATGTGAATCATACAGTGTCTCTTATTTATAAAATGGCTAGACGCATATGTCCATCTATTTACACAGCTTTGCATATCAAATGAAATGATATTTTTGGAAACTTTTTGAAAAGCCTAAAGCATTATGCAACAGAAGAAGTAATTAGAGTGATTGATTATTTTTATGTTGAAAAATTAAAGCCTCCTGATTCCAATATATTTATGTTTTAACCCTCTTTATTCTGTTATCATTTTTATAAATATCTATGAACCTCAGCATATTTCCTCTTTAAGGCCTAATTCCCATGAAAGATGGGTAGCTAATTTCTTTCTTAGTTTTCTTACATCATTAAGGCCCAGACGGTACACAAGATCTTAGTTATAAAGATCCTGATATTTCTTAGGAGGATGATATGTCTTATGTTTTCCTCATGATTGAAGAAAGCAAATGTCAGGAAAGATCTTTATAGAGTATGGGCATAATTAATTGCCATTCAATATAGCTTTATATTTGATTGATAGAGAAGGAACACAGGAATCTCATAACCAAGGGAATGATTAAAATTTCAACTTTTTGTTAACAGTTCCATGCCCATCAGCTATTTGTTTGGGTTATAACATTTTTCAGCTATTTTTGGCACACTCCATTATAAAACATTACATATACGTATGATGATATGTATATGTGTGATGGAGCATAAATAGCTGGATCTTGTTCATCATCTGTGCATAATAAAAAAGTCCACTTAGCAGTAGTGCTGAAGAATTTCAGAAAAATGCCTATGATAACAGCTTTTTTAATGAGATGTGGGAGAGGGTGAAGACGATAGGGATAAACCTACACAAACATCAGATGCCTTTCTGGGTTGTATAATTATGTTGGTAAGTTTTTTTGTGTATTTTTCTGGATCTGTAAGTCTGGAAAGTAGTTAATAACATTAAAGCAAAATAGGAAGTCTAGACTAATTTATCAGGGGGGCTTTCTTTTAATGATCCTATTGTTTAAATAGAAGTTAAGATTAGAATAAGTAATGTATTTGCTCATTAAATTATCAGCACATAATACGAGGACACTTCAAAAAGTTCATGGAAAGATTCATATTATCTTTTAATTCTATTTTTCCACAAGCTTTTTGAAGTACCTTCATATAGATGTGTTTTAGTGGAAGAAAGTTTTCAAAAAAGTATATTCTTCCTAAATATCTGCATGTGTTTAGAAGAGAAACTGTGAAGGAAGATAGCGCATTATGAGTGGAAACTGAGGGATTGATAATTGAGTGTCAAACATAATTTTTTTTCTTCAGGTGAAAGGCTTTCTTTGGAGTGATAAACAGGAATGGAATTGCAAATATCTATTGTTGTTACTCACTGTGCATATATTTTATATAGCTTTAATGTTATTTCCTCTTTCACAATCTTGTCTCTTAATATTCCTATTTCTAAATACAATTCATTTTTTTTTAAAGTTTATTTATTTATGTTATTATTTTTTATAGTCTAAGATGTTGCGGAACAGTTGGGAGGGGAGGGAGGGGAAGAGGTAAGCAAATAGGATGGGAGAAAGAGGAAGGAGTGGGACGTGATTTGAGTCCCATGATAATCCCCTCATAATTCATTGTTTTTTATGATATATGTTGATTTAGAAGACGTCATTGAAAAATAAGGTAACTGCTTAATTGCATATGCTTTCTCTTACAAATGTTGGCTAGAATTATTACACATCTGATTTTGGAAACAGGATAGCATTTTTAAAATTTTGATCTAGAATACAGTAAATTTGTGACGTATTCATGTATTAGTTGTCTTAATCTTTCTGAGCTGTTTTCTCATTTTTGAAATGTGTAAGGGTGGCTTTTGGATAAGAACACTCATTGCAGGTTTAAAGCTAATGTGTATATATTCATAAAATTCTTTTTATCCAGACAATCAACTGAAGGCAATAACTGAGAAAAACAAAGAACTTGAAATTGCTCAGGATCGCAATAGTGCCATTCAGGTAAAGTTATTCTTATGAGTATAGCTAGTATAGACATGATACTTGAGGAATTTTTTTATTCTAATTGTGTTTATCAGTTATTAGTCAATGGGAAGATAAAACAGATATCCTATTAGGAAAAGCTACCAACAAAAATGTGTTTATATAAATTCTTAAATTGGATTTTTGTATGTTTTATTGATAGATTGGACATTCCTTTTACTCAATA